TTGTGCAGCCTAATGCAACATGACATGGTGCCTTAACTGCTTTGTGTCCCACGCCACATAAGCCAGGAATGCAGGCGGGCGTGTTCCCCAGCCCGGCATAGGGGGCACGCACCAATCATAACAATACTCTGCACTTCCTGCCACGGAGCTCAAAGCACTTTGCAAACAGGTATGAATTCAGCCTCACACCTTCCTCCCACCCCCCGCACAGCAGGTGTGTGCTAAAGTCCCCACTTTACAGATGGAGAAACTGAGGCACTGAGCAGTGATGTGACATTTGCATGGAAGGCTATAAACAGCATGCAGATCTCCTGATTCCCAGTCCTGTGCTTTAACCACTAGGCCCTTCTGAACTTGATCAGCCAGCAGGCCTGAGGCACAGATCCATGCACCAGGGGCTCGGAACCAGGAGGCCCCTCCATTCTCATCCTGTCTCTCCTGCTGGTTGTTGAGTTATGGTAGGCAAGTTGCTTGGAAATGTGGGGTCAAACATCTGCATTAACTCTGGGTGCCCCACTCGAGACACCTTAAAGGAAGCAGTCTGGCTTTCAGAGAAGCACCCTAGTCTCCCGCTGAAGACAATGACAGCATCTCTGAAAATCAGGCCCTTGACAACTCAGTTTGGGCACCCAAAATGAGTGAATGCTTGGAAATATGGGCGCCCGCCTCTGCCTCAGTTTCCCCATCTGCAAAATGGGGGTAAAATGCACTTGCTGCAAAATAGGGGGATGATACCAACCTACTTCCCCAGAGAAGTTGGAAGGACTCAGCTGTGTGAAGCACAGTATAAGTGCCCAGTATTATTGCAACTAACTGGTTAGTAACATTACCGGGTTACAGTCTCCCGCGATGAGGGTGAGGAAGTCGTTGTGACCCATCAGTGCTAGCCTGTGGCAAACATAACAGTGTATTCATCCCTAGCTGGGGACTCTTACCTGCATGTAGTGAAAACAACAAGGAGTCTGGTGGCACCTTAAAGACTAACAGATTTATTTGGGCATAAGCTTTTGTGAGTAAAAACCTCACTTCTTGAGGCTGTCACAGCCTTGAACTAAGTCTCTACCTCCAGCTGCTATGAGATTGACTGAATGAGCCTCTCCTGGAGCCCTCTTGCTGCGTTAGGCAGCTGAGCTTCGAACTGGCTATTGCTGTGGGCCTAGTGTTTGCTCCTGCTGTACAGGCCTAGCAGCTGCTCCAAGACCTTGTCTACACAAGACCACTGCACTGGTTGACATTAGTTTAAAAATCAAGTCAATTAAATTGGTGCCAGGTCCTGGGTAGATGCTCATGTCCTGGTTTAAGAGTGGCTTAATGCAGTTTAGCTGAAGTCAATGAGGAAGAGACATGTGCTAAGCTGATATAAAACACTCTTAAGCTAGCACCAAACCCTTTTCAGTATAACTGAGTCCATTTAAAACCACACCTGTAACCAAACCACTGCAAGTTCATGTGCAGACAAGACGTTAGAAACCTCCAGGGATCAGGGAGGTCCTGTGACAGCTGGGATCTTTGACCTTTCCCCTCCCCAGCCCTTGCCCTGTAGCAGAGCAATGAGTTTAAGCTCTTTGGAAAGTGCTGTGCAGGTTTCCCTTGAGGAGGAGGACTGATAGGTTTATGGAGTGGTTGCTTTGTGAAAAGTGCTCGCCCACAGATAATAGGGTGTTTGTGGCTTTTATCATTGCCTGTGTGAGTTCATTTGGCAGCTACAGTAACTCCCACTCCTGATACAACGGCCACTATGGGGTGCAGGTGTTCCCTGGCCAGGATTCCTGCACCCACCCACAGCTTTCTGTGGAGATAATGCAATAGGCCCCCTGAATGAGGGAATTTTCCCTGGAAGTGCAGGTGACCCCTGTCCTACCTCCCATGTGCAGGAGCCTGGTGAAAAGGGGCAAAGATGACTTGAATCCCTCAGTTGGCAGGTAAGGTGCAGCCATGTGGGAATCAGTCAATTAGGGTGGGCTGATGGCACCTTTAATTGAGCTCTCAGGCGGTAACTGAGCAGGTGAAATGGACCGGGTAGGTGGGGAGTCCATCCAGCAGCAAGATGTATTGTACCAGTAGCGCATACTAAGCAGGTGATGTGATTGGAAGTTACCAGAACAATTAAATCCCTAAGCAGATGATCAGAGGAAAAGCTGCAACCAGGCCATAGGGAAAAATATTCAACTATGTAGCAGGCTGTGGACAGTTCACCTATTGAAGATCTGGGGATAGGGCCCTGTTCACACTAGGGTGACCAGATGTCCCGATTTTATAGGGACAGTCCCGATATTTGGGGATTTTCTTATATAGGCTCCTATTACCCCCCCACCCCCATCCCGATTTTTCACACGTGCTATCTGGTCATCCTAGTTCACACCCAGCTGATACAGTAACTGGATAGAGAGTCAGGTGACCAGTGCAGGAATGATGGGCAGGCACGTGGCTAGAGGCAATCCCCAGCCAATGGGCAGCCAGGGCAGTTGCTAGGAGACCTGCTGGGGTTTAGAAAGCAGGCCTGGCATGATGATATCAGCAGCCCCCATGGCAAATGCTCAGCAGAGAGGCTTGTAGGGGGGGGGCCAGGCCTCTCTGCAATGCCACACCCTGCTTAGGAGCTGGGAGAAATAGAGGCTGCTCTCTGAGCTGAGCTCCCATGGCCTTGCCAGGGGAGGGGATGGGGGCAGCGTGGGTGAGCTTAGGGCCAGGTGCTCTGAGATCTGTAACTGTTAACCCTCTCCCTGCCCTGACAGAGCCCACCAATGCAAGAGGAGCTGCTGCTGTCCTGCACGGGGCTGCTGGATGTGCTCATTAGGCCATCCTGAGTGTAAGTCAGAGCCCCCCCAGATTACAGCTCAATCCTTAGCTCCACTCAGTGTGCTGGGACCCCTAGCTCTAGGTCACAAGCTGCTGCTGCGGGGGTGAGCTCAGCTCTGCAAGCCGCTCTCTGGTGAAACAAAGAGGGCAGGGGGAGGGGAGTGGAATGCTAGGAATCTGCAAGGAGCAGATAACCAACTTCCTGCTTGTTCCTAACAGGGCCGGCACTGGGAAGGCAGCCCAGAGCCCATGTCTTGTTTGTGAGCCTTTCTTTGTGTGTTTAAAGTGTACAAGGCAAGCAGATCACTGCAGGGCTTTGTGATGGAGGGGAGGATGGCTGGGCTCTTTCCCTGATAAGGGGAACTTTTTGCACATCTATAACCCCTTCCATGCAAGGATCCTAAAGATGGGGACACTCTGCCTGGCCTGAGGGGTTGCCCTTGGGCTCAGGGGACGGGGGTCAGTAACGGGCAGCTATGCAGCATGCCACCTGCTGGGCCCCCTCTGACCACAGAGCCCCCTCTCCCCAGTATCCTGAGAGATGCTTGTCTATTGCACAGGGCTCCTCTGGTTAAGGACGGGCCAAATTCTGCTTTTAGGCACATACACTCGGGGGGTGGATTTACACCAGCAGCAAGAGGAACAAAATCTGGCTCCAAGTGCCCCCAGCGAGGAGTCCCTCCCTGGAGGGGCGCAGGGGGATTTGTCGCATAAGCACCCTGGCACTTGAGACTTGATCCAGGACCCTCACAGCCCCTAGCAAGCAGCTCTAGCAGGGGAGGCGGGTCCCCATGGTGGAGCTGCTGGATGCAGCTCTCTGCAGACTGGGCTAAAGAGAAAGGCCCCAAAGGGCAGTTTGGAGCCTGAGACCAGTGGGTCCAGCTGGTGCCCCGGTGAGTGCACACAAGAAGCTGCTGCAGGGGCAGATCTAGGCCAAGAAGGCTGCTAGCTTGGTTCCTGGAGTATTTTTCTCTTCTCACATTTTTCACGTCTTACAGATATGGCGGGAGCGTGGGTGGGTCCGTGTAAGATCTGACTCTGGAAAAGGTCTAGAAAAAGGCAGCAGCTCCGCCTGTGCCTCAGCAGCTGTAGGGCCTAGACTCCTCAGGGTGCTTTAACCATTAACCCTGCTCAGAGCAAGCTCAGACCACCGTGGAGCCTACCGGAAGCTGCGCTGCCACCGTGGCTAGGACTGGTGCTGGTGCAACCATGGGGAAACTTACTTCCAATTCGCTACCCTGTAGCAACTTCACATCAGGTCATGGCTGTTCCGTTCACGGCACACACAGAGAAAAAAATCATAAATACTCTTGTCGGAAGGTTGCATCATAGCACAACCTCATTTCTTAGAATTTAGAATCCTAATGCACAAGAACCACAAACAGAGTGAGACAAAGCAGAGAGCCACCACTCACCTCCATGCTGACTCTCTGCAGACTGCACCAGGAAACCCAGATCATCACATGGCTTCCCTCAGACACCCCTAGGCTGCAAGCAGGACCAGAGGAAACCCTTTACAATTTAAAGTGATGTCTTGTCATCTTAACAATTTCCAATACACCACAATAACTAAACTTCCCCGCCGCATACAAGAACAGTGGGTCTCACCCTCTTCCATACCATGCCCCCATGTAACCACAGAAAACAGCTTCAGCCCCACCCCACCCCAAAGCTATAAGGAGACGGATGGTCAGGGGCAGGGGGGACCCCGTATTGCAACACAAGGGGCATGATCTGCTGAAATTCACATAGGACTGTTTTACCTGCTGGGGTCAGTGTCAGAATTCAGGGTCTTCTCAAAGGGGGAAGAGGGGGGAAACAGGTGTTTGCTCTTGCATCCATGCACCAACTGCAGCAAAACTGAATCTAAGGGAGTAGTCACCCCTAGCCTTCCCTACAATCGTTATCGCTTTGCAAGGAGCACAGAATGCTTTACCAGCTAATTAATTAAATCATCCCCCTCCTTGTGTGATGAAAGTTAGTGAAATATGATTATCCCCATTTTACAGCTGGGGAAGCTGAGGGGGCAGGGAAGTTAAATGACTGGTCTGGTTGCATGGCCAGCAGACAAATCAGGAACAGAACCCACATGGCCTGTCTCCTTGCCCTGTCCCTGCTGCAATCACTCCATTCCATTCCTGTTGAGTCTGTCTGTTCCCATGGTCAGTCAGTCTCCTTTCTGCTTTCCCTGTCTCACTCAGGAGGTAGATCACCAGCTGCCAAGATGTCCAGCAAGAGAGCCAAGGCCAAAACCACCAAGAAGCGCCCCCAACGTGCCACTTCCAATGTCTTTGCCATGTTTGACCAGTCGCAAATCCAGGAGTTCAAGGAGGCTTTCAACATGATTGACCAGAACCGCGATGGCTTCATCGACAAGGAGGATCTGCATGACATGCTGGCGTCTCTAGGTAACAAGTGCCAATCCAACAGGGTGCCTACACTGGTCTGCTGATAGGCCACAGGGACTGTGCTTGGGGAACTGGGAGCAGCCCTTCCCTCCTATAGGTATTTGACAATTACTCTAGGTTGAAGGTCTCTGACCTCTTCAGATCTCTCTTCTGCCTCACCCTCCTATTTAAATAAACTATCCCCTCAGGGAAACTGGAAGCAGAGTTGAATAAAGGCTGGGGCTTATCTATCCCAGGAACTCTTTGCACCTGTGAAGCATCACTGACACTGCTCCACCAGTGCAAACCCCTAGTGTAGGTGAGTTACACTGGTGAAAACAGTGACTTGCCGCAGTGGGCGTCACCTTTTACACTGCAGCAGTGTGTCTGCACAAGGAATCGGTACTGGTACAGCTATGTTGGTGCAAAATACTTCCCGGTAGATGTATAACTGTCCCTGGGTTGGTGTGTCTTTGGGAATCAAACACAGGACTTCTGGGTCTGAAAGCCAGGAGCCTTTACTCCTTGAGCTCACAAAGCAGAATCAAACTGCTATACACATGCTGGCCACTGGGGGTGACAGCTACCTGTTAGTTGTGGGTTATGTAGGTGAACCCTTTTGTTCTGCTGCTCCACTTCCAGCACCATCACGCTCTCCCGGGAGAGAGACACAAGAGTAGGGGCGGGAAAACACTCCAGCCCAATCCCTATCACAGTCCCATCTATGCAGAGAAATGTGATGAGTTCTGGATTGGCACCTAGCTATTGAAATCTATTTGAGGCCACCCCAGGGTGCTGTCCCCCATGGCCAGACAAAACTTTTTATCCACCCCTTTGGTAGTGCTTGTCCAGCACTCGTGATCTCTCCCTCCCTCTTCCACCAGCTGGGCTGGACGGGATGTCACTCAAAGCGCTGCTCCCTGCCTCACTCCAGCCACTTGGGATTCCACGGACCAGAGGCCCGACTGTTTATAGCACAGTTTAGGATCTGCCCTGACTATGTCGGCTCCCTGGTCATAGCCCAGAGGGGTCACTGGTGACTGAGGCCAGCTCAGGGGGGCGGCGGGAGGTGTAGTGAGCTCCAGAAGCAGATAGCACTGGCGGGGTTGGGGGAAGGGAACATGACCTGGGAGACGCAGCAGTCCAGAACATTTCCTGGGAAGCCTACAGGGGCGGGTCTCCAGGGGAGTCTGGGCTGCAAATCACCTGCCTTCCCTTGCAAGAACCCTGAGGTGGAGTGGCAGCACCTGGGGTGAGGGGGGGGGGCAATATCCTGGGGCACAGCAGAGCCCCCATTGGCACAGAAGTGTGGTTTGGGTTTCCCATCCCTGCCCCAAAGAGGTGTGTGTAAATGCAGCCCCCTGGCCATGCTAATACCTTATGGGTCCTGACTCCCGCTTGTTGCAAGCACAGGTCAAGCTGCAGGGCAGACAGGGCTCTGGGCTGTAAGGGAGAAGCCAGGTAGGCTGAAATACAAGTATTCGGGCTGTGGTATAGAGCCATGGCTCTAGAAATCTCATCGCATGCTGCAGGGGTCTCTCCCCTCTCAGGACTGATTATTAGTTACGTTTATACTGCAGTAGCATCCAGAGGCTTCCAGGTTGGGCCCCACTGTGGTAGGTGCTGCACAGACAGCTCCCCAAAGAGCTTCCTTCCTATCCTCCTCCCACTGGATTTTGACCTTGAATGTCTTCCCCCTTCCATTGTCCCGTGTTAAGGCCCACCCCACCCCTCCCAAATATGTGCTAAACCAGTGGTTCTCAAACTTTTGTACTGGTGACCCCTTTCACATAGCAAGCCTCTGAGTGTGACCCCCCTTATACTGTACATTAAAACACGTTTTTATATATTTAACACCATTATAAATGCTGGAAGCAAAGCAGGGTAGAGGCTGACAGCTCGCGACCCCCCCCCCCATCTAATAACCTCGTGACTCCCTCAGGGATCCCAACCCCCAATTTGAGAACCGCTGTGCTAAACCATTCAGTCATCCCCAAGGACCATCATTTCAAATCCATCTAACCACGAAGGGGTGGGGGGAGCGTAATAACTGGAGGTTTCTCCTTAAAGTGCCAGCAGTGAAATAATTAATGCTGATACTTCCCAGTTAGACCCAGGTTCGCAGCCCTTTGGTGTGGAAGGAGCAGGCCCCACCTCTCAGCTGTGTGTCTGTGGGCAGACTCAGGCCCGGTCTACACTTGAAAAGTTTTACTGGCATGGCTATGTTGGGCAGAGGTGGGTGGCGCACGCACGTGTGTTTTTACCAGCACACTTATGCCAGTAAAGCCCTAGCATGGGCACAGTTATAGTGGTATGAGGCTCTTTATGCCGGCTTTGCTGAGCTGTAGGAAGCTATACTGGTCTAAGCACTTTTATAACAGTATAATTGCACCCACACTTGGGTTTGGTTTTTTTCCCCCCCTTTAACTATAATTAAAGTGACAAAACTTAATGTAGACAAGGCTGCAGGAAAACAGCAGTGCCATGTGCTGAAGGTCTTTGGAAGAGCTAAAACTCCTCCCCCCCCTCCGCCCCCCAATTGCTTGCATTCAGCGAACAATAAAGGAAATGCCAATACTCCATGAGAAATCGCAATGGTGGGTATTTCCAGGACACGAGGTGGGGAGACCTGGGTTACTATTCCCAGCTCTGCCATCAAGTCGCTGTGTAATCTTGAGCAAGTCTCTTCCCTTTTGTACCTCAGTTTCCCCATCTGTAGAAAGGGGACAATGAGTTCCCTGCCTCCTTAGTAAACTGCACTGAGATCAGTGGGTGTAAAGGTCTGTTTAAGCACTAAGTATTATTACTGTTTGTACCCAATTGCTCATTATTTCTCCGCTCTGCCCGAGCACTAAAGTTCCCAGCCACAAGAGCCCGAGCTGGAGAGGAAGGAGGGGTATGGGACTGTCTTCTTTGGAGACGCTGCTCTCCGGAGCCTTCGGAAAGGTGTACGTGTCTGAATGAGATTCCCAGCCGGCCCTGCCCTGGCTTGTTTAGCAGGTCAGCCAGCACAAAGAAGGCGCTCTGGGGATAGGAGCAGAGCCCAAGGCTCCAGCTCGTTTTGACTTGCAAGGTTTGCCAAGCTCCCCCACCCAAAGTTCTTTCTGCTTAGCTGCAGGCCAGGTAGTTTTCAACATCCTCGCTCCTCTTTCCTTCCTGCCTCCGCAGTCCCCCTGAGATCTGTCAATTATTGACCTGGCTACCAAACCTGTTCTGAAGTCCTAGTGTAGCCAGGAGGCAGAGCTCCCCCCATTCGCCCCTAACTGCACACAAAAGCGAGGGGAAGAGGGGCTGGGCTCAGAATGGAAAACGTGTGTTTTGAAGCCGGGCACAAAGAGCTGTTTGCAGCTGCACCCACCAGAGGGCACTGACCTGTGCAGGCTGGCGCAGGCTGATGGAATGGGAAGAGCTGAATGAAGGAGTCTGGGTGAGGAATAGATTGTCAGACAAGGTTGCTCCTCTCTCTGGGCAGCAGTCGGGGGCAGATTGGGATTCTCGCCACTCTGCTGGTTAATCAAACTTCCTGGGGGGACATGTGTCAGGAATTTAGCTTCCCCCAAGGCCAGTCATTCCGAATTTGAATGCCAGCGCTGAGGCCTCAGGTTGTCCGCAGTCATGTGGTCCATTTCCTGGAGTGGGCTGGCGGGACCCTTATGGTCCCGTATCTGGGGCGAACCCTCCTGGAAAGCAAGCGGAGTGCTGGCACGGCAGGGACATGCGTGCTGGCACTGCAGGGACATGCGTGCTGGCACGGCACAGCTTTCTGATTGTGCCAAATGGATGCCACAGGTGTGTGAACATGACCGAAGCGAGCTCATTTAAAAGTTTCGGAGTAGCAGCCGTGTTAGTCTGTATCCGCAAAAAGAACAGGAGTACTTGTGGCACCTTAGCGACTAACACATTTATTTGAGCATAAGCTTTCGTGGGCTACATCCCACATCCGAAGAAGTGGGCTGTAGCCCACGAAAGCTTATGCTCAAATAAATTTGTTAGTCTCTAAGGTGCCACAAGTACTCCTGTTCTCATTTAAAAGTGAAGATCAATATCACGAGCACTTCTTTGCATTACTCGGCTGGCCAAGATACTCAACTAGATGGGCAGACAAGCGTCCGAACCCATAGAGTAACATTTTCAAAAGGATCTAAGGCCCGGATCCTCAAGGGTATTAGGGAGCTGGGTACCTTTGAGGATCTGGGCCATTGACTTCCAGTGAGACCCAAGCTGCTAAGTGCCTCAGTCGCTTTGGAAGATGGGATTTTGGTGCTTTTGAAGCCCTTATCTGTTGCTTTTATCATATAGTCCAGTTAGGACACATGGGGTTTAGAACAGGGGGGCGGAGAAGATACAGACTGGGGATCCTCAAGATGCACCCGAAATGCAGCCTGAGGGCCAGCTGCTTAAGGTCCCAGATTGTCTGAATACACAGAAAGATCCAGCGAGATCCTGGCCCCTCCACTCTGACGTTTCTGACCATTGAACAGCTGGGCTGCGGGTCTCATTTCTGCCTCCCAAAGAGCAATTTTGGTGTCCCTGAGCCATGCGCTTGCCTTGGGTTTGGGTCTAATCTAGCGATTGGAACAGGGACCTGGGAATCAGGACTCCTGGGTTCTATTCCTGGCTCTGTCACTGACTTGCTGGGTGATCTTGGACTAGTCGCTTCTGTGCCTCAGTTTCCCCACCTGTAAAATGGGGAACAATCATGCCCATGTGTCATGAGGCTTTAGTCGTGTTTCAAGCACTCAGAGCCCCTCAGGTGCGCAAGTATAGGAGTGCAGCGGCTCACCTTGCGCTGGTTCCATATGGCAGGGAAGAACCCCACTGATGAGTACCTGGAGGGCATGATGAGCGAGGCACCGGGTCCCATCAACTTCACTATGTTCCTCACCATGTTCGGAGAGAAGCTGAACGGCACCGATCCAGAAGATGTCATCCGCAATGCCTTTGCCTGCTTCGACGAGGACGCGACAGGTATGGTAACGGAGGCCAGGCTGGCTGCGCTGTCAGCCACGCCAGCCAGGGATGCTGAGCTGAGCCAGCCAGTAGAGTGGGCAGCATTGCTGCCGTAGTGAGACAGAGCTCTGCTTCCCCAGTGCCTGACTTCCAGGCAGGGGTGTGTGGAGCTAGCCATGGGGGCTGCCTTTAACCCAGGGAGAAAAGCTCCTATGTACCATTGAGAATTTGGGCCTAAGCCAGTTATCTGGGGCCCATCCAATGCCCAGCCCAAAGGAGGAGCCTTTCACCCTAGTTCAAAAGCCTGGCAAGCTCACAGAGTGGAACCCAGCATCCTTGTCCTCCCTTGGTGTGTCTGCAGAGCAAAGGCATGATGCGGCCTTTGTTCAGTGCCACCTGGGAGGGGAATAATGGGGGATCCTGAGAGCTGCGATTGAGGGGCACTGTCCAGGCTGCAGGTACCACAGAACCACTAACTCAGAAAATGCTGTCTGCTGGGGGGATACCCTTCCTGGAGGGGATGCTGCTCCATTGAGCTCCTTCTGAAACCCACGATCTCCCCTTTCCACCCCTCATGAATCCCCCAGCAGTGTGAATCCCGAGCGCGGGCACGATCCCACTCTCTGTGGCCTCCAGGGTCGCTTTTCACACTGCCCTGACTGGGAAGAGGCCATCCTGTTCCTAAAGAGCTCAGATTTGAATCTCTGGCCACCTGTTTGCAGCAGCTCTCGTCCCATTGGGGTGCCATTGTTACCGTTTGCAGCCCAGTGTCCTGGGTCCCTGTAATCGCTACACCGTGGAGCCAAATCCTTGGACCAGACTCTTTAGAAACACCCCGTTCCTCACTGCTGGGTCATCCTGGGCTTTCCCAGGCCAGTGCTTCCCAGGAACCAGTACAGAGTTCTGTTCCCCGGCTCTATTCGCTCGGGCACTCCAGCTACATTAACTCCACCTCCTTTATCTTTCCTCTTCCCTGCCATTCGTTGCTCCCTTGCAGGTTTTATTCATGAAGACCATTTGCGCGAGCTGCTCACCACCATGGGGGACAGGTTCACGGACGAGGAGGTGGACGAGATGTACCGAGAGGCCCCCATCGACAAGAAAGGCAACTTCAACTACGTGGAGTTCACCCGCATTCTCAAGCATGGAGCCAAAGACAAAGATGACTAGAGACGAGAGGCGCCCGTCCCACCTTCTGTACACCTGCCATGCCCCTCCTCCCTGAGCACGCGTGCTGCCTCTGGCCCAGAGTCCCAGCAGGCCAACCCCATGGAAAATGCCTTAAAGCACATGACGTGAGGCCTTAACCCTGCTCTGCATTAGGGACGAGCTGGCCCCCACACAAATGCCCCTCCCAGGAGAAGATGAATCTTCATGCTCCCGTCCCTCAGCCCTTCGAGCATGTCAACCATTCCTAGCCTCCGTCGATCTTGTTCGCTGCAGGTCAGTCCAGGTGGCTCCCGTTCCCACAAAGATCTGACCTCCTGAATTCGAGTGCTGTATGGAGGAGGTGACCAGAGGAAAGCAGAATAGTTACCATGGGCTCAACTCACCAGTGCTGTAGCATCTGGCAATGGGTGTATGATCCATGGCCACTCAGAGTGTAAACTCCTGAGGGGGCCTGTTGAGGTTGCTGCTTAGCCCCTGGCCATTGAATCTCTTCCCAGCGACACCACTCCGACCCTCTCCCTCTATTTCAGAACAGGCTCATACTGGAGCTAAAAGTTCTGTTCTTCTAACCCACTGGGAATCCCTCCTTGCCCTGGCCCCGCCTGCCCCACCCCATTCTGCACTCATAACAATTTGCACTTAAATAGCACCTTTCACCTGAGAATAGCAGAGCACACGGACCCCTGTGTATTTTCCCTGCCACGCCCCAGCCTGTCCGGCACAGATCCTTGCAGTGGGGTGGACCGGGAGGGGGTGGGGGAGGGGTCCCTCTACCGGGTGGTGGTGGTGAGCTGTTGCATGGTAGATGGAGCGTGCACACAAGGCATTCCTGGGGGTGGCTTTGCCATGCACAGATTTTGCAATCACACCAGCCAAGGGTGGTCAAATCATTCTGCTGGGGACTAACATTTGTGTGCCTAATTGGCCCCTCTCAATGAGGGGCAATAAAATCCTGCTCTGCATTTTACCTTGATGACAATGTTTACCCATAATCCCCAGCTGCAGTGCCGTAACGAGGGCGAGGTGAGTGAGGCACTTGCCTCAGGCGCAAAAGGTGAGGGGCGCAGAAAGTCTCTCCTTCGCTGGTAAGTCCTTCCCTCCGAGAGGGACTGAAGGACCCGCCGCCAAATTACCGCCGGTTGTTGGCAAGGGAGAGGGGCGGCACGTCCGGCTCTTCAGCGGAAATTCGGCGGCAGGTCCTTCCCTCCGAGAGGGACCCGCCGCCCAAGAGCTGGACGTGCCACCCCTGTCTCTTGCCTCAGGTGCAAAAATCCCTAGTTACGGCTCTGCCCAGCGGTTAGCCTGCCGTTTCAGGGCTGACTTTCCCAGTGTCGCAGTCCATAAGGCAAGAGCCCTTCCCCACATTAAGCCAGTCACCGCTCCTGTCACCAGTATGGGTCCGTCACCCACTGGAATGAACGAATGGTAGTTCCCAATGTGCGCACTACACTTGGACTGAAGAGACAGCAGAACATGGGATTTGCCAGAATGGATATGAGCCTTGATCCATCCAATCCCAGGTCCTGCCTCCCATCTCAGCCAATATCCAGAGCTTGAGAGGCAGGTGGGACCTCCCCAGAATACACCTCACCAACTGTGCCATGCTGGGTACGTAGAGTAGAAAACCTCCTGCATTCCACTAGACAGCTATTTTTCACCCTGACACACATGCTTTTATTACCCCCCTCTCCTTACACACATACCCTCTGATATGATCCAGCCTGATTCCCAGGGTAACATGCAGGGGATTATAAACCCAAATAGACCATCTCCATTCATTTTCCAGCAGTTATTATCCAGTACAAATCCAGACCCTAAGAACAGTGACAAGGAAAGGAATATACAACTGCCCCCTCTTTAAAAAAAAAAAAAAGTTTTCTATCTGAATAATTGTATTTTTGTGGCTTTAGAATCTGTGATTTAAGGATTCAGAAAATTGAAATTACCTATAAAATATAAAGGATATAATACCAATGAGTGCATGTGCACAGTTACCTTATTTACCAGGTCGCCTTCTTGTTTTACTGCATGTGGTAGATTTCTGTCTTTGATTAACTTGTCCTAAGCAGTCATCTGTAGCATCAGCCGGGTTGGAAGAGCCCTCTCTGCTGGGTTATCCACTGTGTCCTCCCAGTGCTGTGCCCCCGTTGGTGGCCTCAATCCTGTGCTATCCCGGAGAGAGGGGTCTGCCCATGAATTACTCCAGCAATGTCAACTTCACCTCCCCTCATGGCAGCGGGTTCTGTGGCAGAGTTGCATCTATACGCTAGTTGTGAACGTCTTCTGAACATTTACCCCACATTTTTGCTCCTGCAGCTTAAGCTTCTTGGTCCGCCCTTATCAACTGATGAAGTTGGTCGCTCCCTTTACAACACACAGCACGTTGCAGAGGAGAGGCTGTTTTTAAACACAGGGAGCTGATTTGAAAAGCTGCCAGTTTGTCCATTTAAATCAAGAGTCACCTAAGAGGGCTGAAAACTAGCTGTGAGACACAGACCCATCTCTACAGCTATGAGGGTTCCTAAGTGCTACACCTGTCACCCAGCCAATTAGATGTCTCCATCTTAATCGCCATTTCAGTGTCCACGGTTTCAGACCTGCTAGAATATTTGCAATAGCAAACGCATTGTTAATGTCTAACAATGGTCTGTAAGCTGGATGCTAAGGTGATAGGCACCAATGTTTCAGCCTGGATGGATGCATGCATGCAGTGCTTAATTTGTAATGAAAGAGCAATTTTTTCACATTCATAACTCATGCAGCAAGCCAAGAGGTCCTGGGGCTATGAACTGCCAGGCCTAGAAGTGCCGCAGCTCAGCCCTGGCAAGTTCTGGCACAAAGTAAGCACTGGATGCATGCCAGATATGTGAATGTAGATAGCCCTGACTGTTTGCCCTATAGGGAGAAGATGCATTCTGTCTCCTCTTGCATGACAGTTCCCCATAGTAACAGAGAATACACCCTAACTGTTCTTGCAAACAATAGGGAGGTTATTTTCTGGGGCATGATGAAGCACAGGGCTCAAAGGGAATAATCTAACAACAGTGATGATAGAATCCACATGAAAAACTCACTAAACGCAGCTGCCTTGAGATGCCAGATCACAGCTTGTGGGCATTGAACTCTAGATTTGGCCTCCTCTGGACCTCTGCTGCAAATTGTGGATGGGTATCCTGAAGGGATGGGAGCTGCAAGTGTTTAGCAGGCAAATGTTCTTTTGCACCTCTCATGTGAGCTCAAGCTGTAAGAAGACAAGAATCAGGTGACATCAGTAACTCCTGTTAAAATAACTACAGCTCTCTTCCTTTCAGCAATTAAGACCCTGGACCTGCAAGGACTTATACACATGACGAGTCCCATTAACTTCCTGGGACAACTCACATGTTAATGCCCTTGCAAGATCGGGGCTTAAGTCCCCCTCCACACTACACATCACCACTTTGGGGCCCCAGAGACTTGAAGTGTAGAGAAACCCCAGCTCTGTTTTAACAGCATCTCTGCAGCATGCTGAAGCCTTCAACGTGTCCAAAGCTTTGGGTCCCACAAAATGAAGTCATATGGTTGCCAACCCAGGAGACAACAATGTTGTAAATTGGTCTCCTGGCCCAGCTGCAATTGTGCAGACAGGGTCTAAGGGACGGACCTACAACTTTAAAAACAAAGTTCACCTTACATTCCTGGGGAAGCTCCTGGGGTGTCCTCCTTTTAACAAAGCACAGTTGTTCCACATGAGATTAGCCAGAGACCCGCTGGAGGTTTCAGCACTGCATCTGGGCAGACACTGGAGTGCAGAAGGACATGTTACCCAGCCTGCAGTGCCATGAGATGCCGGCATTTGGATTAGCCCAAGCACAGAAGTACCTGCCCAGGACAATTCCCATGGGCATCAACTGAAAGGCACAGGCATTCCCTTGAACAAGTGCTCCTTCTTTTGACCTGCTCATCAAAGGACCCTGCAGGACAATGTAGCTCCCTGGGACTGATTGCTGACTCATGGGACCAGGTGTGGGGGAGAGGCAGAAAGGGTTTTCTTCTGAGAGGCCCTTCCCCACAGGTATCTCTGTGTGTGAGCATGTGCAGAAACTCAGGCCTTGTCTATAGTCAGAGTTGCACCATTTCAGCTCAATTCCTTTTTTACACTGCTTTAGTTAAACTAGCACAAAACCCTTCTTCCCCCAGAAGAACCCCCTTAATAACAAAGACTGTTCTTCTGGGCTCTCTCCTCCAAGAGACAGACAGTTGCACAGCTGGTCAGAGTGGCCAGGAGTTGGTACACTCTAGAGAAGGGGCTGTCTCTTCCTATGGCTGTGCCTACACTACAGGTGCTACTGCAGCTGCCTCTGTAGCAGGATAGCGTAGACGCTTCCTACAGCAAGGGAAGGGGGTTTTCCTTTGGTGGAGTGAATCCACCTCTCCAAGGTGGTAACTAGGTCAATGGGAGCTCCAAGTGTCCCCGTGTCTACACCAGGGGCCAACCTAACTATGATGTTCAGGGCACAAACTTTTTCACAGCCCTGAGCAACGCTGCTAGGTCAATCTGATTTTTAAGTGTAGACCAGGCCTCAGTGTTTGTACAGCCAGGGCCGGCTCCAGGGTATGGGCCCCAAGCAGCCAAAAAAAAAAAAAAGCCGCAATCTCGATCTGCGGCGGCGATTCGGCGGGAGGTCCTTCGCTCCGAGCGGGAGCGAGGGACCATCCGCTGAATTGCCACTGAATACCTGGACGTGCCACCCCTCTCCGGAGTGGCCGCCCCAAGCACCTGCTTGCCAGGCTGGTGCCTGGAGCCGGCCCTGTGTACAGCACCTGGCACAGTCTCAGTGGGGGACCCCTGATGCTAATGCAGTACTAAGGATAATGAATAATAAATGCACTGTGGTTCCACCTCCAGAAGCAGTGTGGGGGCCTGTGCTGGGCCCTGCACCCTCCTGCTGTGGGACCCTAAACTGGACATTTTGGGGAGGCCACAAAGGGAAAATCAAGATCCTCTTCTTCCCTGATCAGCCCTACCCCTGCTCCTCCTCCACCTGGCATCTGTGGCTCCCCACTCTGCTGTGCCCCATGGGGTAGCAGAAAGGGGGCACCGTGAGAGAACAGGAGCTGCCCCAAGAGGGGGCCACTAGTGGCTAGAGGTAAAAACTGGCCGGGGAGAACTTTTATTTTTTATTCCCTCACTCTTTCCTCGGCAGACAAGTCCCAGAGCAGCGCACTTCGCTCCCACCTCTTCTCTCGGTATAACTTGAGCAGAGAGTGGCCCCGAGAATCAGGGCAGGCAAGGACTCCACCCCTGAGAGCAGTGCATCTTGTTAGACCCTGCCTACACTGCGGCTCTCACCAAGTCACGGGACCTGGTTGCAACAGTTAAATGAGGGAGCGTAGCTATAGCTAGTGGATTGCCAGAACCTAGGTTAAACCCCAGACAACCCCACTCCCACGCAGGTTTCCATACTGTGTCCATCACCCTAACATGCGTGTGCCTGAATGGTTACAGCTCATTTTACTGGGTCATAGCTGGGTCCTGTGTAATCTACGCTTTTTAAACTGTTGTAACCATGTCCCCAACTCGGTTACAATTGTAGTGCAGATGGAGGCTAGCTATATGTCCTCCTATCTTCACTGCTGCATCCAACAGCACCAGATAAGCCCATTAGCTGGAGGTTTGTGCTAAAATTAACAGTGACAGGGAGTTAAAAATATTGACGTTTAAAAATCAAGTATCAGAGCTAAAGACACAGTCAATTGAAAATAACCTCACTTCTGCTGATAACATTGTACCCGCTGTTGATACAAGTAACCCCTGAAAAACCCTTAGAATTGAAAGGGATTGGAAGGAAGAATATTTCTATATTTTTTTCGGTTTGTTTATTTAGTGCATTTGACAGCACTTTGGCCTGGTCTACACTAGAAAAGTTTTACCAGTATACCTATGTTTGTTGGAGGGTGTGTGTGATTTTTTTTTACTGCTACAGTTATATTGATATAAGCCCTAGTGTGGACACAGTTATACCAGTATAGTCTTCAACAAATAAACTATACTAATATAAGCACTTCTATAATGGTGCAAAGGCATTCACACAAGGGTTTATTTTTAGTGCCTTAACTACACTGGTTTAGTTAAAGTGGCAAACATTTTAGACAAGCCCTTTATGTATAGTCAGTTTCGCTGTTCTGCTTGTAGGGTAAATTTCCTCAGGGGAGTGAAAAACACTTATTTAAACATTAAGAAAATGTGATTGTAAAGCCACAACAATTGGTCAGGACTGCAGGGCAGGCTTTGTACCTGAAATACTCTGAACTCATTTATTAAATTGGCTAGATTTCAAGTTGATGCTGTCCTTTTGACAACCTGTTGATATGAACGAGGTAATTAACACATCTCAGAGCTACTGTTTTTTAGATTGTCTACGTGGAACATAGTCATTCTATTTCCATTCCAGGTTGCACTCAGAAAGCTAGAAATTTAGGCCCAAATTTTACAAAGTGTCCCCTGATTTTAGGTGCTTCCGTTTTTGTGTACCCTTGAAGCAGGTATGTGTCAACTTGATTTTACAGAGGGGGAACTGAGGCACAAAGAAGTTAAAGGATTTACACGAGGTCACAGAGAGTCAGTGCCAGAACTGGCAATGGAACACAAATTCCCAGCTCCCAGTTTCTAACCCCTACACCACACTGCCTCCCAGAAATAGCTAATTA